TTAGTATCGGTATCGAGTTGAAAAGTTTAGTATCGTGACAACCCTATAAGGCTGTGATAATGATGTTATTCCCAACAGACTGTGAAAGTCCTGCATCATCTGCTCACCAGTTTACTCTGTGCAAAGCAGCTGTCTGATTAATTTATTTCCAAGAAATGAAGATGGGTGTAGATTTACTTGCAGCCATTATTTAATTTAAAAGAAAAATGGAGAACAGATAAGCAGATCATGGCTTGTCTAAATTGAAAAGAAGGACTGTGTTATTTGCTGTTATTTTGTGTTTCAGAAACACAGGAAGGAGCAATCAGCTAGATGAGAATGGGCTTAGTGAGGGACAAAAGGTAGAACCGATAATGTATGTCTGTATCCTTATAATGGTTCTGTTTTATGTGTTGTCTTCTCAGTTTAGAGGGCCCAATGCCTGTCTTTGCTTAGGGCCCCCCATTTTCAAAATCCACCCGTTTGAGGAAAGCACCATTAGTCCTTGTTTCCCAAATGCTTTGTGGCCGTCACAAAACATGTGGAAGGAGGTGCCATTTAGTCAGGTGAGACCAAAACGTTAGTCCTATATGCCAGAATATGGCAAAAAGTGTGATATGTAAAACTGCACATTAAAGCTGATAAAAGCATACTGATGGCAGCAACATTTGATCCTCCAAAATCTGGGCTAAAATTGGGGCTGAAAACAAATGAATGAAACAATTTTCTGATTTTATTTGTATTTTTTTTTTTTGTTTTAAGCAATCTTCCCACTTCACAAGTATGACATACCTGTTTAAGTTATATAACCAATTAGGTAATAAAACATGTATCAAATGACAAATACAAGACAAAAAAAATCATACTATTGTTTCTTATAATTATACAAACATTTTTTTTCTAAATACTCTTGTAAAATAAAAAGATTAATGTTGGATCTTGAAAAAAAAACATCTGAGGTAGTGTTCAAAAATATCGTTCCCTCTGGACCGACTGACACACAGAACAATAGTTAGTCATGCTTTTATTTCTAAAGAGACAAGCATAAAATATAGAAAAACTCTTAAAAGCTCCAACAAAATAAGAATATACCTCTTAAAATTAGTTCAAACCTCAAATCCAGTTGAAAACAGATTATAAAAATATTTTATCTCATTAGTGGCAAATTGTCCATGACTTTTAAACCGTATAATAATTATTGAAAGTAATGACAATGATTATGAATGATAACGAAGCCTGCTTTGTTATTTTTACATTTGTCAGTTTTAAATACATCTATAAAGTTATATCATACCCTTGTTAATAACCTGTAAACCTTTCAGGACTCTTGTAAATTGAAAATCAGTACATAACTGAGCCTTGATGTGGCATATTGAATGATCGGAGAGAAATGTAAGAGGGGGCATATTAAGTGACAAACGGTTGACTTAGTGTTTTGCTGCGAGGCAAAAAAAAAGAATTAACTTGGAATACTTGTTGGGAAGTTTGCTGAGTAATGATTCTTACATAATGATTCGGCATGAATGACTGCAGGCAATATTATATTTAATTGATCATTCATGCATGCTTAGCTTATTCACGTATTTGTGTGAATCTTGCAAACTGAATTAAATAAAGCAATGCTTAACATCCCCTAACAAACTTTTTTTAAATAAAAAAATGTAAAGTGTTTGAACCTGTTATGAGTTATCATGATTAAAACATCAAACCTGTCATTCATATTATTCGTATAATTATTTCACCTGCAAAGCTTGAGGGACTGGCAATATGCTTACTGTACCTTATAATTTGCTTCTTTGGCTAAATAATCTGGATTCAGTCCAGGGTGTACCCTGTATCTTGACCTATGACCACTAGAGGTAGGTACCAACTTACTCCCATGGCAATGGATGGATAATTAGTTACATTGAATGGCTGATTCCCACATTTATCTAAGTCACTTTAAAGGATTTTGTTTCCCCCAACATTTGATAAAATCAAATCTGGATCACACATGCTGCTAGACAGTAAATTGTGCATTTTTTTGGTGTCAGCTTAGTGACTTAAGCTGCGTGGGTCAGAAGTTTGAGGTCCGTATATGAGGGTTGCTGCTGTTGTTGTTGCATTTCGGCGGCAGACATATTTGATCCAAGGTAGCAACAGGCTTACAGAGCGATACGAAACGCTGAGTAAAGACACAAAGAGAAATATTAAGTAATGTTCAGAAAAAACTACTAGTTTATAAATGCTCAACTTTCAATGGCCAGTAATTAAATAGCGCCCTTTCAAGTCAGTGGACTCCAAAGCTCTTTAAACTTCAGTCATTTCACACAATGATGGTGGCAGACTATATTGTAGCCACGGCTGTCATGAGGCACACTGACAAAAGCTATCTTTGTTGTTCCCTTTCTCTTTATGGCTTTTTTTACAAGTAAGGTATCACCAAGTAAAGCACTAATTTATGTAACTACATTCTAGCCACAGCTGTCATGGGGCACACTAACAGAAGATATCTTTGTTTTCCCTTTCTCTCTCTATGGGTTTTTTTAACATGTAAGGTATCACCAAGTAAAAAACAATGTATTTTATGTTTATATATTTCCTCATGTATTTTACTTATATAAGTAAAAACACTCAAAATGTCAAATGTCACCAAAATGTCAAAATAAAAACAGTACATTTCTCTAAAACTTGTTTACTTAAATCTTTCTTACCTGTCGAAGTGTGCCTTGTCCTTGGATTAATTTAAAAAGCACAAACAGTGGGATGAGAGAAAGAGAGACTGTGGCAAAAAACCAGCCCAAGATATTGGCCCATAGTGGATATTCGTAGGAGTTACTGAACTTTAGTGGAGTATATTTGATAATGGAGAAGATGAAGGTTCCCTGTTAGAAGACAAGACAGAGAAGATTTTAAAAATTATAAAATGCTACAAAGATCAAGACAGACTCTAGATTTTGTGTAAATAATTTCTGTAATGTTTGTATATTTTTAAAATGTTTATCAATTTGAAAATCTGAAGTAGCTTGCTCTCTTATCTTTCAAATTTTGAGGAGGGATGAAACAAATAGACCTCTTTTCACATTTTATATGCTTCGAAACCAAGGGTAAAATTTTATTTCCCCATTGAAGTTATGGATAAATTAAAGCTAAATAGTTCGATATACCTAAAAAAGTGTATTAATGATGCATATATTTAAGTAATGACTAATTGACCTGTAATTATTTAACGGTTTTTCAGATCGAAGGGCTCCAAAAACAATTTACACTACAATGTACCAATGCAGTATAAGATTTTTGGTATTTTACAAATCTATCTAAAGTGTTAATATTTTTTACAGTTGTGCTGTAAGTATGACAAAAAAATGCATGCAAGGGAAGTCCAGATATCAACCTCACATATTTTTATCTACATTACATTGTCATGAGGCAGAATAAGAGGGCACATAAATATGACATGATCTGCCGCCAAAAGGTTTGACCGAAGCATGTATTACTTTTCAGAGTTGGCATCTCGATTGTTTATTAATAAACACACTGAAAATCTAACAGGACAAATTATGGAAAAGAAAGACATGTCTGACAATTAGTTGTACTTACAAAGCAAACAAGAGGAGTGATGTACCGCCAGCAGTACTTCATGAATGGAAAGGGACGGTAACCAATCATCTCTGTGATGTTGTCATAAAAACGGTCTGTGCCTACAGATAAACCACATGTGAGAGTCAGTGTAATGTGTGAGGTCAGTGAAATCAATCAAGGGCTCCATAACTCACCATAAACCCATCCAATACTAACAGACTGGCAGAACGCAAGGATCAGCAAGGTGCTGCCACTGCAGACATGGTGGTCCAACAGCTGGAGCAAGTAAACCCCGCCCTTAAAAGAGGAAAAAAGTGTAACGTATGAATTGGTTACTTAATTGATGATTGAAATAAACTATACTACGGTTTTGGGTTAACCATGTACAACACTTATAATATATATATATATATATATATATATATATATTGAGCGACAGCATGACTCGTACACTTTTAAAATGAAAAATAATTAAATAATTTGAAAAGTGTTTGCAAAAGACACAACATTTCGCATGATTTCTGAGTTCAAGAACAAAGGGGAAACATCTGAAGGGCTGGTTATATTTTTGCTGCAGTGTGTCGCAGTGAGCTTGCTGCACATATTTTTTTGATTTATGCCCAGCCGAGGCAGTGAGGAAGTGGAAAAAGCGCAAGGGGCAAGTTTGTGGGACAACGGACAGACAAGGGGCGAAAAAGTGTGAGGATCCAGGGGGAAAAAGGGTCCCAGCGTTCTTGCGCACCTCGCTCTTCTAGCTGGTCTATCTTCACGAGTCATTTTCCACAATTGCTCTCATACAAACAAAACAAGCAGGGAAGGTACCAAACAGGAAATATGCATAGTGTAGATCAGATATAGCTTTGACCATTTAGAGACCTCCTGTCTGAGGCACTGTCTGCGGTCACCTACAATTTTGGAGGTGAACGCAACATTGTAAAGAGTAATAGTAGACTATAAACACTAGATAATTGCACACACCTGCTAATATATCACATTCATTTTAGAAAGATACATGAATGATGCTAAATACAGGGCAAATAAAAGAGAAAATATATCCGAAAATAACAGAAATACCAGCAACACAGGTAAGTTCATTGTGTAGGTTCACTGTCCAACATGGTAAAAACTCTACAAACATATCTGTGTTTTGTGATAGAACATCCCAGACCAAAATGCTGACAAAAATAAGAATCTGTGGCAGGCTTAGTTTGAGCTAATTAATAAAAAAAAATATGCAAATCTTTTAGTATTTTGGTGCAAAGAGTATTGACTTGGGAATAAATAAATACATATGCAAATAAATATGCATGAAAGTCTGAAATTAGTGATGCATTTAAGTGTAGTTGCCTGAAATTATCTTCTGCCCCTCACAACCATCACTACTGTGTGCTGTTATAAAAATCCCAGTTAATTCAGCAAAATTTGTAAAGAGGTTAAATGAAAACCATTTGTTACTCGTAAAATTTGATCATTTTTGTATTAGTGAGTTCAAACCTCAGTAACTAGTAAGAGTCCAAACAGGCAGGAGACACAGCAGATAACCAGCAGGAGCAGCTCCCTCCTGTAGCCTTGATTCAGGTAGGAAGGGAAATGATCAACCAGGGATGTCATCACACACTCTATACCAACAAACTGGAAAAAAGGGATAATGGAAAGTAATTAGTACATAAATTCATTCATGTATTCATTGACTTAAATGAGTCTTGATATTTACCTGGCTATCTAGTCCAAGCAGTATAATCATGAGGAAGAAACACACTGACCACACCTGAGGCATAGGCATCATGGCCACAGCACGTGGATAGACAATAAATGCCAACCCAGGGCCTAGAAAAAAAATTAAAAATTGGTAAAAATGCAAAGTGGGAGAAAACAGACTAGAAAGTAAAACAAATCAAAACTATACTTTAAAAAATATGGTAGGTATTTTCAGTTCTTAAAACAGGCCAGCTTAGTCCAGTGACTATATTAACTGTTAGATTTATATAAATAAAAATAATTTCTGCAAAATGAATGTAATATAAAGCGAATCGTTAAAGTGGGCCACAGTTACTCAGACCAAAAAAAAAGAAAAAAAAGTGTAAGTTGGATTATCAGGCTCGCTAGAAACATATGCATCACTACTTGCCTGATTCTGCCACTTCAGAAATATCCACGCCTTGTTCATATGTCATGAAGCCCAAAACAGAGAAAATGGCAAAACCAGCTACAATGCTGGTTCCACTGTTCAGCAGACTCAAGTAAAAGCAGTCCCTGTTAAAAGAGGTTGTATATTGAAGAATAATATTTTAATGTTTTGGCAACAAAACTACAGCCCTGACCATTACCATTTATAAAGAACCTGGTCACCAGCTGAGTAATTTTTCACCAAATGTGGACACATCCTGACCTCTGCAGGCCAATTTACAGAAAATCTATCTGAGCAGCAGACATTGATACTTGTGCAAATATCCTCAGCTTTTGGTCACTATTATGAGGGAATATAAATAAAAATAAATACAGTGGAAATAAAATAAAATGTGAAGACCTTTGAGAGCTCACATAACAGCTGCATCAATACTGGCATTACATTTCCCACATATAGTCTCCTGTAAAACTAATAGGTGGAAGGGAAAAGAGTGACTTGTTGTTTGCAGATAATATTTGTGGTTCATAAAATGTGTAAATGATCAGAGACTGTGAGTAAAATGCTTGGGCACAATTATTGTACTTACTTATAACAGTTATTGTTGTAGGTATTATAACTCCCAAGAGAAGTGAGAAAACCGAGACCGATGGCATATGAGAAGAAGATCTGAGTACCAGCGTCCATCCACACCTAAATAAAGTGCACCAATATATGCTTGTAACTAATTTAACATCAACCTCATTGTTATGATTTATGCATTGAATACTTTTTCTTACCTGAGGATCTGAGAGACGAGAGATATCAGGATAGACATAATAAATAATCCCATCCAGAGCTCCTGGCAATGTAACACCTCTTATCAGCAGAACAAACAGCATAAAATAGGGAAAGGTGGCTGTAAAGTATGCTGCCTGTAGGGAAAAGGAAATACAATGTTCTTCATATATTAGAAGCCAACATATCAAAGAGAAGCAACAAAATGTCCTAAAATTATATATATAAAAAAAAAAAAACTTTACACTGGTGTTTACAAGAAAATTGATAGTCATGGCAGAATAAAGCCTGCTTGTCTTTCACATGAAATGCAAATACTTTTGGTATCATTTATACAAAATATTGTTGTTCATATTTCAATTATCATACCTTTCCTGTTGACTTTATTCCTTTCCAGACACAAAAGTAGCAGATGATCCAACACAGGATGAGGCACAGTGCTAGTTCCCACCTTAGTCCACCCAACTCGTTGATCCCACCAGAAATCTTTAAAACTCTTCGACTGGTCAGATGAGAGAAGTGAATGGGGTAAAAATAAAATGAGATTAGGACTAAACAAGAAAATATGCAAATGGAAGGAAGCAAGATGTTTATGTCTCTGCTATCTGTCCTCTGAAACCCTAGACAGTTGTGGTTGCTGTGATTCTGTTATTTTTTTGGAGGACATCAAAAAGTTGTCCCCCATCTTTATTTACAGCATTGGCTAAGTAAAGTAAACTTGAACGTTTTAAGACAGATTAGCAATGGTAACAATTACAGACACACAACATAAGCTTAAAAGATCTTTTAAGTATGTTAAAAAGATTCCTGTATGGGAGGAGGTGTTAAAATATGTTTCTGCAAAACTGTCTTTATGTTTTTCCTTTAAGGAAAAAATGTGCAATAGAGCGGTGGTAAGTGCAACTGGTATCAGGAAGATGGCCCAAGAAACAGACAGGAGATTAACGCTGGTGATCATGAGAAGACTTTTTATAAGGGTGCGTAAATAAAGCTGTGAAATAATGGCGCTTGAGAATCGGTAAGAACTAAATCCATGCTGGTTGAGTAGACAATCTGCCATCCACCTCTTGGTATCTGCTGCTCTTTAAGCTGCTCCTAAATGTCTTAATGAGCTGCAGTAGCAGGGCTACACTTGTCGCTCCAGGAAGCATACAGCTCTGTTGGTCTGATAGATTAAACCAATCTCCTTAAGAAGTCACTATGAAAAAAAAGAGTCCCCTTTCTCTGTAATTTAATCTAAGTATAAAAACAGCTGTTCCCTGAAGGCCTCAGATTTTGACCAGCAGTGAACGCATAGCAACATAAAGGCCAAGGGGAAAAAAGCTCCTAGTTGTATTGTTACAAAATGTGGAAAAGTTCATTGACAAAGATTGTTTATGCAATGTTGCTATGTTTTCTATTTAGAAGTAGACTAAATAGGAGTTGAGAGAAGGCAGGAGCAGCAGCAAAGGAGATATTTGGAGATAAGCCAGACAGAAGATAAAAGAAGGAATTAAAATGTAAACTGTTGAACTTGTGTGAACTCATGCTTACTTCCAGAACTCCACGACTGGGAGGGTAGTGTTCACTTTGGATTTCATGCTCAGATTCAGATGGCTGTCAAAGCATGAGTCTAGAGTAAGAAGATAAAAACATATCACAACACTTTTTTCAAACATAATGTTGAATTAAATTCCACACTCTTCTAAATAAAAAAACAACATATTTTACAGTGTTTATATACTTTTATCCTCATAGAAACAGCATAGCAGAAACATGCTATACCTGTGTTCCAGTAGTTCCCACATGAAGCCCAAGGTAAATGTGAACCAAAGGATGAGAACAGGTAAAAGAACGCCCAGGTGAGGATCATGATGTAAGAAGTTGCAGTGAAAGCGATGATTAGGTGACTGGCATAGCCAAGGCCTGGGGGGGAATAAAAAACAGGGCTGTAATGCATTTTTATATACGGTATTTGTCATAGAAATACAGACCTTATAAAATTAAATAAAATGGCAATAAAGTTCTTCATCAAAGGAAAAGGCAATGGAAAAAAGAGAACCAGTACCTCATAGAATCTTTTACCTTTAAGTCAATATTTGGTAGAAACTGTACTTTCCAGTGGTCATGCTTGTTTATCCTGCATTCCGTCTTTGCAGATGACTGGAACAATTTTTCTCTTGAAGCTGAACTTTAATTTGATCTCCACTAACCCTGAACATGTGCCCGACTAATAATAATCAATACTGCAATAATAAGAGTCTTTTCAAAATTACAAAACGGCAGAAGGTTTCATTTAAAACTCTTAATCATATGTCTGCTGGACAGTTTTTTTTTTTTATTTTTTTTTTTAAGGACAATAACTAAATGATTCAGCCGTACATCTTGACTGGCATTCTGTATTTTTTGGTTGTGCAACATGAATTCCCTTAAAGAAAACATATATCAGCTTTCTCTTTTGACATATCTAAAGTAGTATGGTTGCATGTCTTGAGATTTGAGCGGTGTTAAGAAAATAAAACATACATTTTATCATTACTTTTTTTTATGTAATATTTTACCAAAAAAAATCTATGTCACAGTTTCACTAATATCTAAAGATGCCTTGATCTCCTTGGCTAAAGTTCTGATTTTCTGTTGTGTTTTGATAACTTTCTTGGCGATTAAAGTATGCTCTTGATCCTGCAATAGTTGTTTTGGGTGTTTTTGGTGTTGTTCTTTTGTTTTTTTATTCAATTTGTTTTCCTTTAGGATCTTGGCATATTAAATGAAACCTCCTTGTTTAGTTTCTTATTGTTTACATCTCTTTTGGTCTGTTTACCTTGGTGTAGTAGTATCAGAATGCATGAAGGGCACTTTCAATGACACATTATTTACTGATCAAGGCTGCTTATTACATGAGATTTCCTAGTGTGTTTCTCTTTACCACTCTCAGAAAATAAATTCTAACGTTTTTTTCAGTTCTTACAAGAAATAAAAGAGCACTGAATATCCACAGCATTATAAAAGGCAAACAATTCAGTGCAATAGATTACTGTCTTAAAATAAAGGGTGAAAAAAAGGCTGCAGATCTATTTAGTTGAACTACATCAACTATTATGGACAATTCTAAACTTTAACTGAGGTTTAAGACAGAAGGCAGATTAGGATGTTTCACCTTGAAAAAGTGGACAGATCTGACGCCAGCATGTGATTCCTCCCTGACGGGTGTACTGCCCCAGCGCAGTTTCCAGAAAGAACAGGGGTATGCCACACGTAAATATAAACAAGATGTATGGGATGAAAAACACTCCTGCAAAACACACACACATAAAAAAAAACATTTAAAAAAATGCATTCAGTCTGAATTTAAGTAGCAAAATGCCAAATGCGCATCTGTGCGTAAAACCACTCACCTCCACCGTTTTTGTAACATAGGTAAGGAAACCTCCAAATATTTCCAGGCCCGATAATTGCTCCTGTGACTGTGAGGATGTACTCCGCCTTGGTCCCCCAGTGGCCCCGTCCCTCCATCTCTTTGGCTTTCTGAGGGTACTCGTTCAGGACGCAGACCGCTGCGCTGCTTCTCATTCCGTTCGTTGTCATCTTTTTTTCTGCCAAACGTTAAAAGGCAAAGTTTCTCCTGCACTCAGTGGCTGTGCGCTCTGAGAGCTTCTCTAAGTGGGAATGTAATTTAACAAGGGAAGAAAGAGACGCTGTGATGTGAAAGAAGCTTCCTTTATTATCAAGCGGGATCCCAACTATTTAAGTAGAGGATGCATGTTTAGGGAGACGGTGGAGGGCGTGACTTTGTTTTGTAAGAGAAAGTAAATTAAGCTTGATTAATTCGCTGTTACAGCATAATATTTGACCCATCATGTGTTGCAATGGGGCTGGGATTTGGGGGGCTGTTGCAGTTTCTCTTCTAAACCTATAGGAGGTGAAATAAATTTAGTCATGAATTATTTGGTCAAAGCAAAAAGCACTTTTATGCAGCAGGTGAAACAAGACATCCGACCGACAACATGCTGCACTGATGGCGCAAAGATTTTACCTACTTACCTTCTTCAATACTTAGTAATGACTAGGTTAAACTAATAACTAGGCAAAGCTTAACTGAAAGTGTTAGTCACTAGTTGTAATTAATATAAAACAATGATCCATAAGCATTAATATCCCAGAATGTAGACAAACAAAATTTTAATATGGTCTAATCTCGTATATGAATTTCCATAACTGTTGTTTTTTTTAACGTTTTCTGGGAAAGCATCTAGGAGGTATATGCTTAGATAGATAGATAGATAGATAGATAGATAGATAGATAGATAGATAGATAGATAGATAGATAGATAGATAGATAGATAGATAGATAGATAAGGATTTTAGATTTATTATTTCTAATGAGTATTACATTAAAGAAGTAGGGAGATTGCTTGGAACATGGAAGTGTTGTCACCCATTTAGTCCAAGAATCAGTGGCCCACAATGTAAAGAAAAATGTGTCTGAATCTAAATAAACGCTATAATCAGCGGCTTGATGGCAACATTTTCATGCTTAGTGTGAGTTTTCGTCACTTTTTGTCATGGAAACATGCATGCACACAAAAAAAATGCAGAATTATGTGTTGTGAAACATAATGAAATGGGTGTGTTTAAATATTTTGCACTCTTCGCATCAGTGTTGCTGTTTTAGGATGAGCAACGCAAAGTATGTTGTCCATAGATTTTAATAACCTGAGAAGACTGGACGAGTGATACACTACAACAAGTCTGCAATATTTCTTAGAACTTGGGTAAGTTTCAAAAAGCAGGTTTTCTAAAAACTTAAGTATTCTAAGCATGAAATAAGGAAAAATTTGAATTTTATGTTTCATAAAGAGAGTTTACTTAGCCTCTGTTTCTGTTACCCTGGTAACATTCTCCGCAGAGGAACCTGGTCGGGAGCAGGTTTTGTTCAGTAAACTCAGAATGTCCTCTGTCTCTGCTCTATTTAAAGCTAATCACATTGTTTTATTTACTGATTTAGTCAATAGATTTTTAGGTTTTAAAAACAAATATTGCTTGTCCTTTTGAAAAGCATCTTAATTAATGAATGATCAGCATTAATTCACAGATAATTAGGTATTTATGGGGAGAGGATTCTACAACTCAGTTGACAGGATATGAGATTTATTTGTCTTTGGTTTGTTTAATATGGGTGATATGTGGATTATTTCTTTATTTATTTTTCAAAGTAGCCTACATGAAGAACTACTGAAATTATTTTCAGATTACACATAAATAGATTAATTTAATCCACAGGGAAAAGGAATTACTTTAGGGTTAGGATTAGGATTCCCTCGGTGATAACAATGACTTAACCCAATCACACATTGTGAGGCCATATGGGACTGATAACAAATATTTTTAGGGATGATATCATCCAAAGCGGCTGCAAACAGCCCCTTAGTATTTACTCTGTGATGGAAGAATCAAATGAGGAGGAACCCATGAGATGATGAACAGGACCTTTCTTTTTAAAAAAGTTTTCAGACTTCATCTTCACCTGCTGCCAGTTGATTTTACTTAGGGCCCTGTCACACCTTGCCGATTTAGACAGCGTATGCCCAACGTCCCAGAATGTACCTTCGTATTTTTTCAATTTTGGGCGTATACATACCATATTCATAATAAGTCCAGGATTTATGTCCAACAACCGCCTAACTTATACATAGCACACGGCAGCGTAATTCCCATGAAATGATGAAACGGCATCTGATGCTGACATTTAATGATCCTCCACAATCCATATTGTTGTCAATTAAATAAATAACAATTTCAAATCCACTGATTTATTAACAAACCTGAAAAATAATGGAATAGCTTTTTTTTTTTTTACATTTATGTGAAAAAAGAACACAACTGAAGGCTAGAGCACAACAAAGATAGAAAGAAAGGTATTGCTCTGAGGTATCAGGTGCCGGGAACAGATTACGCTCTACAACCATTTTTTTGTAGTTTATATGTAACTGCTATCATAAGTCTTTAAATGTGTGATGATCCCATTTCCTCAACTGTCTTTCTTCTTCTTGAGACATAGTTTGTTACCTGGGGGGTTGCTGGCCTTTCACCAGTGCAAGGCTCCATTGAGGTGGTACTACATCTCTTGTGGAGAAAAATTTATCTGCATTTTAAATTCATAAAGGATATTTTGGGTCAAAGACTAAAAGAGGAAAAAAAATAAATAAACGATTTCAGGATGTGCATGTCCTTGGATAAGGCTTCTCATACTTGTAACGCATGAGTTCAACTTTGAGTGGACATACTCAGAGTTGACTGAACTAAATCACATCAGTCGTTGTGAAACTGAAAACTCAAAGTTCACGACCTTAGGCAAGATCAATTTAGAGTTGTGGATTTGAATCTGTTTTTTGTTTTGTCAGTCCAAAAAAAAAAACTTTAATTTTGTTTTGGTTTATCTGTAGAAATTTTTGTTACTCCTACACATTTATTTCTTCTATTTTTATTATCTATTTATCCAGCACTGGAATGGGTTCATAGCCACCTGGTGGTATTGTAAAGCATAGCTGTGTGTCACCTGCATAGTTATGGTAACTTGTTTATTATAGTTTAAGTTAGGGGGACCATTTAAATGTTAAATAGGAAACTCTACTCATCTAGTGTCTCTTTGTGCTCTGGTAAACTCTCCCATTTATTCCTCTACCTTTACCTACACTAAAAACGTTATAATGAGAACCTCACTGAGAATTTGGATGCAGTTTAAACGGTACTTTGGCGTACAAACCTTATCTGCTCATACACCACTTGTAACCAACCATCCATCCATTTTCTTCCGCTTAGCCAGGGCCGGGTCGTGCAGGCAGCAGTCTAAGCAAAGATACCCAGACTTCCCGATCCACACACACTTCCTACAGCTGCTCTGGGGGGACCCTGAGGCGACACCAGGCCAGCTCAGAGACATAGTCCCTCTAGCGTGTCCTTGGCCTTCCACGAGGCCTCCTCCCAGTGGGACATGCCTGAAATACATCCCGATGGAGACGACAAGGAGGCCTCCGAAACAGATACCCTAGCCACCTCAGCTAGCTCCTTTCTACATGGAGGAGCAATGATTCTACTCCGAGCTCCCACTGGATAGGCAACCATGCATTTGGCAAATTGGGCAAGTATTGATGTTAACAATTTTAGAGACTTGTACATTGATTATGCGTTAGCTTCATTTCAGGAACTTGTAGAAACATTTTCACTTCCTCAGCAGAATTCCTTTAGATATTTGGAGGTCTGTATTTTTCTTTATTCTACATTTTCTGGGTTTCCCACCCTACCAGAGGACACAGCCCTTGATGTATTCTGTAGACTATTATAAACTCTTAAAGGTTCCATATATTTTATTTATGATCAGATCATTCTTCTTAGTCCTGAACCCTGAAGGTTGTGGAAGAGGACTTGGGAGTGGCATTTTCACAACAAATTTGGAGAGAGATATTGCAGCTGTATAAATGTATAAATCCTCTATTTGTACTAGACACGTTCTCATTCAATGTAAAGTGGTACATTGTGTCTATTATACTAAAGCTAGATTGGCTAAAATGTGTGATGAAATAATATTGGACAGGAATTTTTACCACTTTGTCAGAAGTACTAAGTTAAAGAGTTGAACCAAATACATTTGCTATTTGGCATCCCCCTCTTTCTTGGAGATACATATTCTTTGACTTCTTTTGCAAAATCTATGAAAGATATCCTTGCTTTTGCCACCCTTTTGGCAAGACAATTGATTGTTTTGAACTAGAAATCATTGGTACCACCTTCGCACACCTGTTGGATTAGAGAAATCTTCTATTTTTTCAAACTAAAAAAAAATCGGACTGTCAATAGCTGGTGTTTGTATTTGTGGAGGTGTATTGTTCTTACAGAAAAAGGAAACTGTAATTCACTGAGATAAAGTGGAAAAAAATTATTTGATAGGAGGGGAACTAAGATCTGGCACAGTCCAGTGCTGTAGCAGAAAGGCCAACCCAGAGCTCAAATAGAATGGAGTGATCAACAGTGTCACACGCTGCACAAGGTCAAATTATTTCAGCTCCGCGGTTTTTTGGCAGTGTGCATTAATATGGATGTCCTTTTACACAAGGACAGTATCTGTCCTGTGGCGAGTAAGGAAACCTGCCTGGAAGACGCCAAAGTGGCTTGTCATTGTTAGGAAGCTGTTTGGCTGTTTAAACACAACTTTTTCCATAATCGTAGAGATGAATGCGGTGGGGGGTCGGCGGGGAGTTGGTGGTTGGATAGTTCTGTAGTTCTGCATTAGTGGTTTGTCCAACAGCTGTGTGATAATTGCTGTTTTTAACGCCTGGGGGAAAACACCTGACAAATGTGATGTATGTATTATCAAATCAGACGTTACGACAGGCAGAGCTTTCTTCAGGAAGGCTGTGGGTGAAAATCGAGACAGTGGGAGGAGCTAAGTTGGTGAGGCAATTAAAACATTGTTAATGAAATCAATCAGTTTTTGTCCATGTTTCTGTTGTCTCTCT